GGGTGTTGCTAGGTGCTCACTGGAGTGTTCTGGGAGGTTTCTAGGTTGTTGCTAGGTTCTCACTGGAGTTTTCCGGGTGGTTTCTAGGGTGTTGCTAGGTGCACACTGGAGTGTTCTGGGAGGTTTCTAGTTGTTGCTAGGTGGTCGCTGGGGAAATCAGGGCGGTTTCTAGGGTGTTGCTAGGTGCTCACTGGAGTGTTCTGGGAGGTTTCTAGGTTGTTGCTAGGTTCTCACTGGAGTTTTCCGGGTGGTTTCTAGGGTGTTGCTAGGTGCACACTGGAGTGTTCTGGGAGGTTTCTAGTTGTTGCTAGGTGGTCGCTGGGGAAATCAGGGCGGTTTCTAGGGTGTTGCTAGGTGCTCACTGGAGTGTTCTGGGAGGTTTCTAGGTTGTTGCTAGGTTCTCACTGGAGTTTTCCGGGTGGTTTCTAGGGTGTTGCTAGGTGCACACTGGAGTGTTCTGGGAGGTTTCTAGTTGTTGCTAGGTGGTCGCTGGGGAAATCAGGGCGGTTTCTAGGGTGTTGCTAGGTGCTCACTGGAGTGTTCTGGGAGGTTTCTAGGTTGTTGCTAGGTTCTCACTGGAGTTTTCCGGGTGGTTTCTAGGGTGTTGCTAGGTGCACACTGGAGTGTTCTGGGAGGTTTCTAGTTGTTGCTAGGTGGTCGCTGGGGAAATCAGGGCGGTTTCTAGGGTGTTGCTAGGTGCTCACTGGAGTGTTCTGGGAGGTTTCTAGGTTGTTGCTAGGTTCTCACTGGAGTTTTCCGGGTGGTTTCTAGGGTGTTGCTAGGTGCACACTGGAGTGTTCTGGGAGGTTTCTAGTTGTTGCTAGGTGGTCGCTGGGGAAATCAGGGCGGTTTCTAGGGTGTTGCTAGGTGCTCACTGGAGTGTTCTGGGAGGTTTCTAGGTTGTTGCTAGGTTCTCACTGGAGTTTTCCGGGTGGTTTCTAGGGTGTTGCTAGGTGCACACTGGAGTGTTCTGGGAGGTTTCTAGTTGTTGCTAGGTGGTCGCTGGGGAAATCAGGGCGGTTTCTAGGGTGTTGCTAGGTGCTCACTGGAGTGTTCTGGGAGGTTTCTAGGTTGTTGCTAGGTTCTCACTGGAGTTTTCCGGGTGGTTTCTAGGGTGTTGCTAGGTGCACACTGGAGTGTTCTGGGAGGTTTCTAGTTGTTGCTAGGTGGTCGCTGGGGAAATCAGGGCGGTTTCTAGGGTGTTTTTCAAGGGACCAAAACAACAAATCACATGCTCTGTCTGACAGAACCTGCAGACGCATCAGATAACTGTCTGTGGTCACATCATGCATTCTCTCTCTCTCTCTCTCTCTCTCTCACACACACACACACACACAAAGCAGGGTGTTTGTGCATCAACATCCAGACAGGTAGAAGGTAATGTGAGTCAGCCAGAATAAACACACTAAAGTGGTCATGAATGTCTTTGTAAAGTTCATTAAGTGCCTCAGTGTGGCTCCACATTCCACACACAGGTCAGCCGGAGGCTCTCGGTCACATGACATGAACTCGGCCTTTAGCATCACTCCTTATGTTTAACATCTCAATGGCCTGTTGTTCTAATCGCTGCAGTGTTGAACGCATCCACTGGATGGATTATGGTTCTTCAGAAAATCCCGTTCTGATTTTTACTAGGGTTGGGCGATGTCTCATCAAATTGGTATCAGCAGTATGTCAGCCATTGGTGATGGACGATGGCATTGTCTACTGGCCCAACCCTAATTTTTACTGTTAATAAAATGATCGATGATCCATTACACATTTGTGTCTTATCTCATTGTTGTTGCGAACCTGCATTACAGTGATGTGAGCACAGCTGTGCTAAATCCCTGTATAACACTGAACACACTGCAGCAGCTCTCAGGGCTTCTGTCGCCAGTGTCTTCCTGGGTTGTGGTGTAAAATCCTGTTCAGAAGCAGCAGGGATCTAGGCCTGTCGTCCAGTGTTACATCCAGCACGTTTACGGCCTCCTGTCGCTGCCGGGCACATCTGGAGGCGTTTAGGGCACAGCTGTAGCTCCACACCCTGTCTGTCACCTCCACCAATCCAACACAATGCCAATCCAGTCTGAAACCACCTCCAGTCCAGTGTCATTCCAACAATACAATCAGTTATTTACTGAAAGAGCAGATAATCTACAACCAGTTTTACCTTTTGGTATTAAAGAGTGAAGAACTTGTCAAACTAGTCAAACCTGATGTAGCAATAAACATCTCTAACAGTAGTAAGATGTCAAACTGAAGTCCAGTTATCAACTCAAACATCAAGAATAAAGAACGGAATGTTTAAAAGTGTGACATTACTTCTGAATTATTCGGCACATTGGACATCAAAGAGCTGAGTGCCGTGCATTGTGGGTTAAAGTCATACTGCACATGCAAAAGGTGGCTGACGTCAGCCAATAAAATGAACATGACATACTAAAAAGATGAAAAAGTGTTATGGAAATGGAGCTGAAGTGAAAGGGACCGGCGTGTCTCTGATAGAAGAGGTCAGGATGGCTCCAGTACACTGGATAAACTGTGCATACAGAACATTTGCATACTGCAGAACAGTAGATCAGCAATATGCTGTTATGAAAATTCCCTCCATCACAGCACGACATCATTTGGATGACAAGCATTTCTCAAATTAGACATTTGAAACTCCATTTTGCCTGATTGGTCACTTTCAAACCACATGCCCAACACTATCCAGTGGCAACCCAAAACAACTGCTGGTTGGCCGTCTGATGTAGCGCTCGGTGCCTGCCGGATCTCCTGGGGTCGCACAGAGCCATGAGAACCAGGCTGGGGTATATTTATAGAAAAGCCTCTGTAAGGCAAGCGTCTTTGGGTGTTTACAGGCATTCCAGAGTCATTCCAAACCACAAGACCCGGAATGAGCCAGAGAAACGACAGATGGTAGGATGGAGCCGTTCTGTGAGTCCATCTGTGCAGAAACACACTCATGCATGTACAAGAAAATAATCCGTTTTCATTATTATTATTATGTTGCAATATGTTAATATTTCATATATTAAGCTGTAATACCTCTTAGAAACCCAATTGCAGGACAATTCACATTATGAGTTTTTTATGTATTGTTTAAAATGTAATACAAATTAAAATTAAGCAAAGACAAGAGTTACTGATGCGACATGGACCGCTGTGAAATGAAGGTCGGGGTTGTTTTGCATGATGTCCATAATGTGATGAAGTAACGGCATCAACGGCAGCACAAACTGGAGTGTTTAAGAAGGATCGTAAATAACATCATTCTGTCTAGTCCTCATTGATCAAAGCTACAACACAGCTCTTATTCACCAGTTTCACTTTAATTTTAAGTTTCAAACATTTCATGGACAGAAAGCTAGAGTTCACCAGCTCCGTAATAAGAAGCATGTTAGAAAGTCATATTGTAATATCCACAGATGTTTCTAAAATAAAAGTACACACACACACACATACAAGAGTGTCTATCTGCAGACATATATTACATAATTCAACATTATAACACATATTTCAGAACATTTTCTCTGCAGCCATAATCCAGTAACAATCACAATCCTTATTTAATCCTCCTAAGCAGTGTTGGGGTAACACATTACAAGCAACATGAGTTACGTAATCAGATTACTTTTTTTCAAGTAACTAGTAAAGAGTAGAGTTAGTTTTTCAGATCAGTAACACCAGAACATGCTCTTCTGTGCTCATGCTGAGAGAATCAGGAGTGAGTTCAGAAGCGTTGTGTGAACATGATCTTACTGTAGTTCGAGACTAAGATTCAGTATTCCTCAAAATGAATAAAAACATTAAAAATTCTTATTGCTGAAGTGTAATACTTTCTTATTCTGCGTTCTATTCTTCACGTGTCCTTTACTGTACAGATGTTAATTTATATTTCCTTCAGCCTGAGGCTTATTCATTTCACTTTTGGTGTGAAAGGCCTTTTACATTTTTTTATTAAAAACAAACAAACAAGCCCAGTACAGATGAGAAAAAGCAACGCAAAAGTAACGTAACATTCCCTAAAAAGTAACACAATTAGTTACTTTTTATGGCGTAACGCAATATTGTAACGCATTACACTTTTAAAAGTAACTTTCCCCGACACTGCTCCTATAAGGATATATAGATGTTCGACTCCAGTAACCGCTGGCTTTTATAACGCTGTAAAACATATCATGTCATTTCATCCGACACACAGGGCCCATTTACTTGGTTAGGAAACAGCACTTCAATCTGACACTACATTTACAGGAAGTGTAGATGATAGACAAGAGTTTAACTACACTGTTAAAAATATTAGTGTGAAATTACAGTATATTCCAGGTTAATGATAGTATTACTTTCACAGTAATTTCAGTTGTACTTCTCTTGTATCTAACTGCACTCTCAGACACTTCTTGTGAACAAACAGCATCATACTGTGTTTCTACAGAACAGATGTACTATAAAGGTTCCCAGCATGCAATGCAGCACGAATAAATCATGCTGTAGAGTTTTTTCATTCTTGTTGGTTTTATTTGTGTTATTGAACTTGATTTTGGTTCATTTTTAACAGTTTGTGGTGTTGGTTTATGTTGTAAGTGTTGGTTTTATTTGTTGAGTCTTACCATCGTTGTGTTTAGTATGTCGAGTTGTTGACGTCACATCTTTCAAAGACGTTTCTCAGCAGTCGCTTCACTCTCGTGAAAGATCCATCCACAAACAGTTATGCATATGATATACGTTTTTAATTCATCTTCATGCTTAAGAGAAATGTTCATGTTCATGCTAATAATAGACTTTCTCAAAGTCAGGCAATTCGCTTATTTCATATTCTAGCTTTGTCACACTTCTGACGTGACTAGATCAGAAATTTGAATATGAATAAACAAGGTCAAAGAGCCCAAACAAATCACTAATCACCATTATGGAGACTTCAAAACAATTACAGCAGTACACAACTAGTTAAAGACTTTCTAACGTAAATTCACAGTAAAACAAGAGCAGTAAATTACTGTGACGCTAGCATCGTTCTGCTGTCATTTGTAAGACTCCGCATGCATTGATTTCACAGTAATTTATTGTAAAATAATACTCTTTAATCCTGTAAATTCCTGGCAATTGTTTTTACAGTTGAGTGTAGGAGTTGAGTGAAAGTCTGGAGGAGGGTGGAGAGATGCTGAGGCGTGACGTCATCACTCAAAGCCTGCACTATAGACGCTTTTGTTGATGTAGTATTTAAAGCCGCGGCTGTACTGGGTGCACAGGTTTGAGAGGTTCTGGGAGGAACTGCTGGGTGTTTCCAACACGCCCGCTGAACTGAGGACACTTAAGGACAGAGAAACACACAGACTGTAAGTGTGTGCGCGAGTCAACATGCCAGTAAAGGCCTAATGAAGCCCACATATAGGCAGGAGCTGCAGGCATCAACGACACACACACGCGGCTGTACAGTAGGAACATATCTGCGGTCAGAAGCCGTCTGCAAATCTAAAACTGGATGGGATGACATCACAACCTCAGAGTTGGCTTCACTGCAGCTTTGGGCCTTTTTCTGTGTTTATTGCACTAGAAGCACCACAGAGAGATCACCACCACACCCAAAAGAGACGAGCAAAGGCAAAACGATCACCAACATCCACCGTGGAGAGAGAAGCGCGCATACTAGACTGCGGATGCTACAAATAGCATGTTATTGTAGAGCGGTTTGTCATCGGTGGGTTCGGCTGGTTTATGGTGGGTTGTGATTCCAGCCAGTAGATTGAAAACAAAAACTCCTGTCAGCCTTTCAGACACCCTCAGAACCGGCAGAATTCATAACTTCCACTTTCACAGTCCTTGGGTTTTCCGTCAGAAACGCTAGTGAAAACATGACCTGAAGACAACCTAACCCAATGCTTCATTAGAAGATACTTGACAGAAATGAAAAGCCCCGATTTATTCGTCCTCATGTCGATGTGGTGCTGGTCTCTATTCCACACAATCTAAATGAATGGGGCAGATTCATCAGAGTGGGATCTTTTGGGTCTGCTCCTCACACAATGCTATTGTATGGATCACGTTTATGGTATTTTTATGCTGTCTGACATTGTATGAGGGTGACTAGATGCTAAACCATTCCTTTAGCTATAACATACAGAAAAACTTTCATGTGACTAATTTTATTTTCAGAGTGTTTCCATCTTTGCTTTACTAATGGAGCAGAAAATACAAATGAGGAAACAGAGATACTATTATTACAAGCAAAGACCAACAACAGCAAACGATCACAAAACTGTTTAATAGCTTTACTGTTTGTCTTTGAGAAGAAGCCTGCTGGGAGTTTCAGAAGATCTCAAGAGTTTCTCAAAGTGTGTGTCCGTCAGAAGTCAGATGAGGATCTCAAAATGAACTCAAACGTTCCACGACTTTACACAGCTGATTCATTTATAGCTCAGCGCTTACGCTGTGTGTCAACTACAGTGCGAGACGCATTAAAACACGCCGGCATGAACATGTAAAATAAACAAGACGCTCTTGACACCAGCACACTGTTTGTCCACAGATCAACACATTCAAACACAGCTGCAGAGCCATGTGCCACTCAGTCACCAGAGCATGCTGGGAAACAGAAGAGCGGATGCTCATTCAGAGTCTGCACTACAGGAGCAGCTCATCATGTGGGCAGGTATTGAACTGGTGTTAATGTGAGAGCAGCATTCCACAGGAACCGGACAGGAACGCTCGGAACAAGAAAAACTGGGTTCGGTGAAACCAGTGACCAAACCCTCTCTTGAGCAACAGCAGGAATGAGAAACTGCTCAGGGTTTATTCACAGCATGAGAACTCATCTCTCATCATAAGAATGGCCTGATAGCGTGAGAGAAACAGCGCACTACCACACTGCTCATACTGGACAACCTTCAACATCTGCCAGACATGCTGCGGTACACCATGCATCCCATAATGCACTTATTTTCATTTACTGTATTTATTTCTGGGCCTGCAGCTGGACGCCAATCACTGAATGAAGCATGCAGCAGAGAAGGTCACGTGACAACACTGTGGCACGTCTGAACAGAGGGTCTTCATCATGCGTAATGCAGTTTGCATTTGGGGCCACCAATTTGGTTATAGCAACACTATCTTAAACAGTCCGCCGTATGAAGTACAGTATGAGCAGTACAGTGTGCTACTGTTCATGATCCTGGGACAGAGGAGTTACATGAACCTCTCCTTCATAAATCACCACCTGAAGCACGTGTGAACGCTGGCTTACCTCATCCTCTGATGAACGGGACGGCTCAACCGGAGGGATGGATCCCACAGCACGACCAACCCAGAGAGAAAGAGAGCAGAGAACACAGATCAACACACTTCAACCTGCTATAAATAATGCAGATATGATGTCAAAACAATACACAATAAGACTGAACTCCATAATGAAGCAAACAGAATGAACTGATTGCTGTCGTGTGATGTTGGACACGAAAACAGCAGCAGATCCTGAGTTTCAGCTCCGCGGGCAGTGCCATAAAGCACCTTACGCGGACCGATTTAATGTGTTAATCCCTCATGTATGGAGAACACATGCTCTTCTGGAGCTTACAGAGTCCTTCACGCTACTTCAGAAAAGAAACAGAACATGGATCCATGTCATTTACCAAAGAGTTTTAGATCCTCAAGGAATTTTAATCGAACAAGAAAAGGAGAAAAGCATCTGCAAAAAGAACATTACACTTTTGAAATGTGGTAGCACAGTATTTAACGGTCCTTACAATTCAGTAACTGGGTAATAAGCAGGCACTAACCATGATACTAATCTTAAGCCGCAGTAAACTCACGCAGTTACCTTAGGTTACTTCTTCCTTGCATAAGTACACTACGTATACAGTGCATGTAAAATAAAGTGTAAAAGTCAAAAGCGTGAAGGCTTCTCTTTTGAATCCTCAGTGCACTTGGCCTAGAGCAGCGGTGTCAAACCATCTAGCTTTCAAATAAGCCTGAAGGACCTGATTAGTTGGGTCAGGTGTGTTTAATTAGGGTTGGATCTAAAGTTTTGACACCCCTGCTCTAGAGACTTTCACTGTTAATAGTTCTGTTCTGTTTCTACAAAGCACAGAGTCACTGCTGTGAATATATCCCTGCTCTCTGAGCTGTATGTGTATGAATATGAATCCAGATGATGGTGAGCTCTACTCATACGTCACTGATAGCATTCCAGTGTCACCTGCTGCGGCCAAATCAAACCCATATCCGTCTCTCGCTCCCGTTTTACACATGTCTCTATTTCTGCAGTTCTCGGACACAAATCTAAGCAGAGATGTGTTTTCCGAGCGCCGTCCGCCAAACACTAGCCCAGGAATGCTAGCCGCGAGCTCCTCTAAGCGCTCTGGCATCTGACCGCAGACTGCAGCTCACAACTGTTGATTCAGCTGCACTTCAGCGCGTCTTCCTGAGCACGAGGGGAATCACAATGCTCCAGCAGGAGGTCTGTGTGTTGGGTCAGTTCTTATCAGGTTTAGTGGATCAACTAGTTGCGTGTCTGGGTTCCATGTTGAGTTTGACTGCTGTAAGCAGCACTGGACCGGATGACTATGTTCAGAAGCCAAGAGTAGCATGCTGCAAAATACTCTCATCTCTGTTGGCTATTTTTTTTAAATAGCATGTAAAACACTGTACACATTCAAACAGCAGTACAAGGGCAGTGCATTGTGGGATACAGCATCTCACATTCAGCTGTATTCAGTATGGAGTACTGTGCATGATGCAGTAACAGTAATAAGTAAGATGGCAACGATCTCTTCTGATCAGAGACACTAAACACAGCCCAAATGTGAGGTGTCTGACTGTCTGCTGTTTGTGCAGGAGCAGCGTGAGGCTCTATCAGAGGCATCGATCCTGCAGACGGTCAGCAGTTAGTGTGCTTCCTCGTCCCACTCTTCTCTCCACAGGATCGTGACGTAAACACGTCTCCTCTCACTGCATCGTGTCAGCCAGTGCTGCTGAAATCTGAAGTCTTCACTCTGTTAAGGGAACATAGTGAGCATCGATGTGCCCTGCTTTAACGGTGCATTGTGGGAGTTTTTAGGGAGCGAACGTTGCAGCACACTGGAAGGATGCTGTGATTGAAACGGCCCTTAAAATGGCCCCTAGTTTCTGAAGTATGCAGTCACCGAACACTTAGCTAACCCATAACACCATGAGAGTTGAGGAGCTGCCAAAAAAAAAAGGCAGAGCACTGAAAGCACAATGAAAGAACAATAACTGGCGTCTGGGAATGCATTGATAGTCCACGCCTGCATACCTGCGCTTCACTCCGTACAGTACACACTCTCGACGCACGAGAACACTGCAGAGATCACCAGGGCAGGGGAAGGATGTGCTGCATCAGATTATTTCATAAAAACATGTTTTTCTGAAAATGTGTGTCCTCGATACTTACGTTATGTAGTAACTGTTTGATCAAAACAACTAGAATATGAATATTTGCCTTGCCTGGAAATTTGAAGGTGATATACTGCAGTGTTCTGGCTGGTTGCTATGGTGTTGCCAAGCAGCTGCGACATGCAGGCTGGTTGCTAGGTGGTCGCTAGGATGTTGCCAGTGCATAGATGATTACGACTGTTAAAAGCTGCACTTGAAGGGGAAACAATACATGCTGATCTCTGAATAACTATGTTTAAATGCCATGTCACAGTCAAGCAAGCATGAGGCTGTGTGTGCAGCAGTGTCCGTCTCTCCGGACAGCATGAAGCACAGCATGAAGCAGTCACAGAACCGTCTGGTGTGATGGAGAGCAGCAGCGCTGTGTGACTGTGTGCAAGCATGCCTCTTCAGTGAACGCACCAGAAACACTTCTTCACTTCTCCTGGTTTCAGGCGCCTCAGCAGTGAGCAGCGCAGGAACGCGACACAGTAACACAGGCAGAGACTCACCGTGGCTGAAGAGCGCAGTCCTGAAGCGGTTGTTGACAGCCGAGTTCTCCATCGCTCGAGCTGTCTCTCCGTGCAGGGAGCAGACAGACACTGACCGCGTCCGCGCGGCACTCTGCGCTTTAATGCGGCTCCACGCCTGCTAAACACTCGCACATGCGCGAGCCGAGCACTGAGCACCGCCTGCTGTACATCTGTGGTCTTCAGCATCAGAATAACAACACAGCACGCAGCGATTATTATAACTGATAAGGGGGAGGGGAGGGTGATAGTCAGTTTTAGTACCATTTAAATATGCAATGGATTATCAAAATTAAAACGACACAAAGAATATAATATTTTAAGGAAATTATTATTATTAACATATTAAGGAAAAAAGAATAAAGTTTCTGTTTTTGACACGTGTGGCCTTGCATTTTAATAATTGATGTTATACAGACGAGTAAATAGCACTAAATGAACACGTGATCAGGAGCATGGTTACCAGTATTGTCACGGTATTGCTCAATGTGTTGGAAATGTTCAAAAAGTACTCATACACACAACAAAATCAAGAGTTTTATGTTAAACCAGCAAACAGCAAATAAAAGTAGCAGCACTATGCACTTTTTGTTTGCATAAGCACTAAAATATGAATAATTCTTCTGTATCGGGCTTTATGGAGAGAAGATGAAAAGCAAACCATGCCATCGAAACTTTTCTGAAGACAGTCGGTTCCTTATGCATTCATAATTAATGCAATCATACATTCTGCCATTTCATTTCTTTCAGCCTTCATTCATCTTTTCACACAAAATGAGGCATATGCTGCATGTTGCTGCTGTTAATGCGGAGTCATATTTAATTTTTCATTTAGTTTAATTTTTTCCGTTTTTGCAATAATTGGACAAACAGTCTAAGGGTTCGAAAAAGTAGTTTGTTTGTTTTTAAATTTAAAGGGAAAAGTTTTATGATGCAAAATGAATTGTCTAGAGCCAAGGAATCAGAGGGAAATAATAAAGAATTGTGTTGCTAGTCCTCACGGCTCAGAAGTTATTAGCACAAACGTGAGGATGGTGGTGCTGGAGGGTTTGAGTTAGAAACCCCAAACTTGGTGTGGTTAATGTTCAGACTGTCCTCTATCTGTGTGCCAAATGTCATAACTTTGTACCGTACGGTTCTATGGGCTGCTGTAGAAGAAGAAGAAGAAGAAGAAGGGGCCTACTGTCACCCATATTCAGCTGTTTTTCTCTTAGTTTCATTGTCACAGACTTTTAGTTTGTCTCTATTTAGTTTCCTTTTCTTTTGTTCTAGCTCCAGCCATTCATCAGTTATTCTTCTTGTTGGTAGGGTCAGTTCTCCTGTTCAGCTGTGTTTATTACTTAACCTGGTTTGTAGTAGTCTGTGAGTGTTGCTTTTGCTGCTGCCTTCTGTCAGCTTGCCTTGTGGATTATTATTAAAGATTGATCTTATACTCTTCTATCTTCATCGTCGTGTGCTTTGCTGCAGCTACGTGTGACACCTGCAGACCTTTAGTGCTTGGCCCCTAGTTAAGTCTTTCATGACTGTGCTGTTTTTGCCAATACAGTAAATGTGAGACTGTCGGTCTCTTCAGAGATATGTATTATTGATTGAACTGTCATTTTCAAATGAGTCATGATTTTGCATCACAAAGTCGTCAGCTAAATATGTAATTAGCGGATGAATGTAAAGCTCTTGCATGAGAAAGCACACCGAACACAGCAGTAATGAGGAGTCGAGAGACAGCAGCGTAACAGCAGGAGCGCCACTTTATTCTGTCGCCTCCATTCACGGCCAGTGCGTTTAAAGTGCAGTCATTTCACAGCTTCAGTAAAAACAGCAAACCTAAAATATCTAACTGAACAATGGAAACGTGGAGAATATAAATATCTAGAGAACAAAAGGAAAGCTCAGTGAAACAGGTAAGCGATGGCCACACAAACTCGTTGGCAAGGCTAGCGTAAAACAAAGGCACAGCAATGTGGAGGTAAAACCATCGCTTCCAGAAGGAAAAGCTGCAGCATTCTGTCACCAGATCAAGCTCTGGCTTCCTCAGCACTTTCTCATTGATGCGTATGAGTTTGACAGATATGAACGATGACATGACGTGACCCTCTTCAACAGCAGCGGGACCCTGAGCTAGACTTCCATGAACATCTCGAGCTAGACTACAGTGTTTAAGTGCTGTGTGTGTGAGTGAGTGTGAGTGTGTGTGTGTGTGTGTGTGTGTGTGTGTG